TGAAGAAGAGGAAGGCAGTGGGAGGGTTTTTTTTGCTGTGGAAAGCACTGAAAGCAACAGAAGGTCACACTCCAACAGAGACAGCTCCCTCCTGATAAAAGAGAGCCAGAGCTTTCCACCCTGGGAGTCAAGGAGGGTTTGTTACTTCTAGCAGGGCAGAGGGAAAAGAGCAGAACAGAGCAGAAGATTACCAAAAGCATGAGACCTTCCTGGGGTCCCTTCACAGTCAGTTTGCCCAATGTGTAAAACAGGGCTCACCTTCTAGAGACAACACCTAGTTCCCTTCAGTAGCCCAAACCTCTCCACTTTCCATGTGATAGAGGCCATGTCAGCACCAAGACACAGCCACCAAACAGCTGCCCAAGGGTGACAGCCACATGTCTGCTCAAGGGGAGAGGTGGAGATGTGGAAATCTTTTCAGGGTTGCTGGGTAGAACAGGTGACATCTGCTGCAGTTGCCACTTACTGCTTTCACAGTGGGGTCCTTCCCAGCCATGGCATTCACACCGGTAGCTCCCAGGCCCAAGGATGCAGACGCCCTGATTCATGCATGGGTTGGGTTTGCAGAGGTTCACAGGGCTTGTTGCTTCTACAACAAACACAAGCAGAACAGGAGGCTGAGGTACATCTACAGAGTATTAATAGCCAGGACATACATCCTTCAAGAATGCTGAAAAAATAACAGCAACTATATATCCCAGACATCAGAAAATGTCATCTAGCACTAATGGGGTGGGAAAAACACGTGAACACGGCAGAGGGTGCAAACTCACAAACCTGTCTTGACACAAAGGACAAGCTCCTCTGTGTTTAACTCAGACACAAGCAAGAAGAGCTTTACAAAAAGCTCTGATCTGGAAGCTAATATCTCTCCTAAATCTTCAATGAGTAACATGATGTTAGGCTGAATGTCAAAGTAAAGCAAAATGGAGCATCTTCAGAGCTGTGCACAGAACACACAAGCACATCTGAACTCCCCCAGATCCACAAACTGCCAATGCAGAGCAAGACACATGCCCTGTCCAAGCAGTTTACAGCCCCACATGCCACTAGAGTCCAGACCCCATTTCACCCCTGGGTGAAACTTCACACGAGAGAGGAGCAAGGACAAGAAGTCATCTGAGAGGCAGGGATGGCACAAATAGAAATCAACACAAGAAAAAATATGTTGTGTTTTTTTCTAGAAGGTTTGAGAGAAAACCCTGCAACCGTGGCCCAAATTTTTATTATCCCTGTTCTTGTGAGGTATGTGACAGCTTTTCCAACCCACTAAACACAGCAAACCCCAGCTGTCAGCAGGATTGGCAGAGTTTCATGCTGCCTTGCTGTGAATACCTTAAGTTACAGCAGCATCCCAGAGGAATTTGCTTCCAGTCTGCTGGCAGCTCCACTGCAGTGTTGGTAAGGGTGTGAAATTCCACTGCTGAACTGACCTCCTAGCCTTGCCTTTTGCTCCACAGTAGAAAAAGCACACAGAGCTTTTCCGTGGTGCTCTGCTGCACATGCCATGTGTCCACCACTTCCCACCACGGCTGCAACACAGCATAACCTCGAGGTCCGTGTTTGGTGGAATAATGCTATTCCATCCAGTTCTCTGAACTCAAGCCTACTATTAAGACTGAATCATCTTTAACAAGCTTCTTGCACTTCAGGGATGACACCTTGTGATGACCCCAAAAGTCTGTATTTCCATTAATAAGATCCATATCTATTTAACACTTGGGATCTTTTCTCCTACAGTCCTGGATCATTTTTTTTTCTGGTCTCTTCAGCAGAGCCTGAATACAGTATTTGAGGTGTCCAGAAGCAGGGTCTGTTTTTCACATACTTTTATCATGAGTCATACATTTTTTTAAGTCCTTTCACAGACAATGATTCTGTTATTGAGTCTTGGACTTGAAGCAGAAGACTGAATGAAGGGCTTATCTTTACATTGCCCTTGGTCCCAGCCTATCTAGTACAAACAGTGATTACCTGCACATGAAATGAAAGCAGTGATTCAGTCTCAGGAAATGATGTGTTACTACCCTGACTCCATTGAACCTTGCTGTCTCTTCCCCTTCATCAGTCAGGTTGTAGTTAATTTCATGGTACAGTAGATTGTTTTTATAATAACACAGCTGAAAACCCCACTGCAATAGGAGCAGGTTGAAAAGCTCCAGGTACAAACCGTCCACAGAGCCTGCCAGAGAGCAGCTCCTCACCCCAGAGAGACAGCACTGTAGTTCTTTCAAACCCTGAAGGAACAACGGGCATGCCCAGAGATGAAAGGGGCCTTTAATTGTGCTAAAGCTCACACATGCTGCTTCTTTTGATCTTAGAAATGGGTTAAAACATATCAAAAGCAAATAGCTAGATGTGAAACTTGGACTGCTTTGAATGAGAAACAAGGCACGGCATTTTAACTAGAAGCACTTTTGCCACCACTAATGCCTGGAAACAAGGGCTGCTGTCCTATCTGAAAAGCTGATTTCCATCAAACACAGACACTCACACTCAGCACACAAGTGATCTAAAATTGATATCAAAGTCAAATTTTCCCAGCCAAGGACTGGCCCTTGGGATTCCAAGTTTTGAAGAAAGTAAACTTTTTTGTGTATCTGTCTGCAAACATAAGCTTTTACATGGATTTGAAAACCCTTCCCCCTCAAACATTCAGAGATAAGGATTTGGTCCTACAAATTAAATTATTCACAAGTTGTCTAAAGGCTTCAATTCAACACTTTGCAGGCTTCAGAACTGATAGATTCTGAATTTAGGATTAAATCCTGTGCAACACATACAAAATCCTGAAAGCCTACATGATAATTTCAGTAATGGGACAATAAGGAGAAGCAGGAGTGATGAGATTTCAGACCCACCAATTCATGAACACCTGGGCACAAACCTGTTGAAAAAGAGAGCAGAGACAACACTATTGGCTGCAGGGACGTGTCCCCTTAAGCCCCCCTGTAGCACTGCAGGGGGTACAGTAACACATAGTAATGTCTACAGGTTTTAAGTAACATCAGAAAATAAGTAAACTTCTTTTTCTTTCAGGGAAGGCAGAACCTAGACCTGGCAGGGCTGAAAAGAACCATTCACAATAAGCCTCATCTCACCCACTGGACTGAATTTCAATAAGAATGTTGGCTCCTATTCCTATAGAAATGCCTTGGGCAGTCACCACGTATCTATGCCATAGTTTTCCCATCTGTTAAACGCAAAAGACAACATCAAGCTCACTCTCTGAAGCATCAGAAAACCTACAATAACAATGGCTACAGGGAAAGGCCCCACTACGCCTGATATACAAAGTTTGCTGCCAGCTGGTGGCAACAGCATGAAAAGCAAGAATGGGATGTTCTCACCTTCACAGATTCTTTCAATGACAAGGTCTTGGTAATGCTGCAGGTCTTCATAGGAGGAGATGTGGACCAGGTAGTTGGGAGACCCAGCAACCCCCAGCAGCATGTCCCTCCGTGCCTCCCCAATGACAACCACAAACACCAAGATGCCATTGTCCCTCAGCTGCTGAGCTGGAGCAGCTGCATCCTCCACGCCACCTCCATTTGTCAGCACCACCACTGCCTTGCTGACACCAGGTCTTGCTCCTTTCTGCACTGTCATCACGTCACCATAAATATGCAGCAAGGCACTGCCAGCCGAGGCTGAGCCCCCCAGAAATGGCACCTGGTGGGTGGCCTGGAGGAGAGCTGCATTGCTGGTGTGGGTGTCCAGCGCAAACACCGTGTGAGCTTTGCTGCCAAAGACCACCAGGGCAACCTGGGTAACATCCCTGTTGATGCTGAAGTGCAAAAAGCTGCTCCTGACAAAGTCCCTCAGCCGCAGGAAGTTTTCCAGGCCAACTCCATCCGAGGCATCCAGCGCAAATGCCAAATCCAGAGACTGTGCGTGGCAGCCTGGATGAAAGGAGCAAACAGGGCATTTTTCAGAGTCTAGATGTTCTCCTTTCTGACCAAATAAAAAGCAGGGGGGA